TCATTCTGAATGCGAGATGTGATATGTTGTTTACAATTTCCTGATGATAGTATGGGAGTAATAGTTTCCTATTTGGTCTGATCTGTATAATTTTGATGATTTTCTGCGTCACACTTCATGTGAGTCACCCTGTAGAGCTGCTCTCGTTCATTCTCTTGTTCACCACCTTTCACTCATGCATCGCACTTATAATTTCTTTCAGGCATGCAAGGATTTGACATGAGAATCAATGAACATGGAGACGCCAAAGGGAATTACACTCTATTATCGTGGCAAGCGGTAAGCGCAAGATCTAAAACCCTTTTCCATGTTTCTTAGCGAACGCTCTCTAAGTTATCATGTGCTGCTTTTTATTGGTCGTTACTGCTGAGTCATTGTTGTTTACGATTGTCGAGTTATATCTGCGCGCATGCTGCCTAATTTTCTTGTTTAATACAGGTGGAGCCAGTAAAAACGAAAGGGGATGGCAATTACTACCCCCTTGACCACGCGCTTGACATTACCGCTATGTTCGTCGACGGAGGTGAAGGGCAGAATAATATGCCAAAGCTGGTGTAAGTCCAACGTTTGATCGGAATTTTAATCATTTTCTTAGTTGTTGTAACATCCTAGAAAATTTCACGGTTTTTATAAAAGCACTCCTTGTTGATAGGAGTAATTTGACATATCTTTATGCGCACAGCTCAATATTCAGGTTCCACAAGCCAATCATGTGGATTGATGGACCGACAAGAGATCAGCCTGATTGTGGCTTCCATGGAGAGCTTTGCCGGGATTATGGAGGTATGTTACTGTGCAAATGGTTGATAGATGCATGTTTCTCCCGCTGTGTTAGGTTGACTTTGCGAGCGTAGAGACCTCTTGACAGAAGTTTGTACGAAAGGAGAAGAAAGGGGCTCATCGCAGTAGATTGAATGCTCGTCATCAACAACGATTTAGCTGGTTGCTTTCTGTTTTCTAACTCAGTTCTTATTTCAGGTTACATATCATTCATTTCGTTTGTTCTCTTTTTCATCGTTTTGATTGGTGGAGCGATCTCGGCAGGATTTGTCTACAGGTCCGTTTTTAAATTTCGCTATGTAGTATTTAGCTTTCATAACAATATGATTGGTATACTGCCCCAACTTAACCAGTTGGAGATGATAAAATGTAAATCGTGGGCGATTTCTTTCCCACATAAACGTTCAAATAGGAGGGGGGATGCAAAAGGTGGTAGCACTTATGGCTATAGACATTTTGGGTTTTACTTATCAGGTCCTTAGAGTGGTTATTGTTTGGCTGTGAGTAAAAGCTGGGAGGAGAAAGTGGGGAAAGTTCTCGAATCTCGTTCATGTTCTCATTCGTTCGCCTGAGACTAGGTCCATCTCTCTCTTTTACAGAAGTCGCAAATTTGAGAAGGAGTTGGCGATGATATGGAAGATTGAAGTTCGGGAAGTACAACGACTAATGCAGGGCAATGCATCGACAACATCACTTTTCCCTGACGGAAATGATGTAAGTCTTTGTGTATAAAATACTTCCTTAAAACCAATCAAAAGCCTTTGCGGTTGATATATTCGGGAGCTTACAATCGAACAATCAAATCATCGTAGAAGCATAAAATGTTCTTTTTTTTTTAAGATGGGTGACCACACATGGTACACGGGTCAAGACGCCGAGAAGAAAGGCTCAGGACTTCGAGGTGTAGCTTACTACAAAGGGACCCTTGTTGCGCTGAAAGGTGAGCTAAGCTGACTGCCTATCAGTATATGAGTTAATCTGCTACGATGTATCTTTGTTCATGCTTTTTACAGAATTGACATTCTCGCGGAAACCTCGTGAGCTTACAAGGCAGTCGAAGATCGAAATGCGGGTCATGCGCCAGCTGACACATCCAAACATCAACAGTTTCATGGGTAGGTACCAACAAATATCATTGAGAGTCTACTACGAAGCTCTGTTGAAGTCCACCTACAACAAACAGCACGGAAGAGTCAGCAAAAACGTTTACCTTCTCTGTGACCTCACATTAAAGCATCCTCGTTACCATATATTCTTCGTATCTTGTCCTTTTATAGTATATTGTGGACTCACCAAACAGAATAATTCCTTGGAAAGCTTGAAATAAGAGATCTTTTTTCAATGACTTTGTAAATTTCGAAGTTTGTTGAAAGCTCCTCTCCCAGTCAGTGCTTTCAGGAATAATTGTGTGTCCATATTCGATTTGCATAGTTCGTGAGTTCTGTGCGAAGGGCTCATTAATGGACATACTGCAAAATCGCGAATTCAAGCTGGATCATTTGTACATAGCGTCTTTCGTTGAGGATCTCATAAATGTAGGTTTTTTACTTTTCCCAAGAAAATTACAGAAAAGCAAGTTCTCATACATAACTCTAAAACTGACTTTAGGGCATGGTTTACCTTCACGACTCCGAACTGAAAGTTCACGGAAATCTGAAATCAACTAATTGCTTGATCACATCAAGATGGGCACTACAAGTTGCCGATTTCGGACATCATGAAATTCGTGAAGGCCGACAGTGGGAGAGCGAAGAGAGTCGGGTATGTGAAGCAGCTATTCATTTGTAAACAAATCTTTGCGAATTACTTAATTTGACTTTGCCCTCATCTTCCTTATTAATTTGATTTTGCCTTCATCTTCCTTATTCCAGTGGATGAGTTATCTTTGGTGCGCTCCAGAGTTGTTGCGGGAGAGCGAATTGAAGCACTCCGTTAAAGGTGGCTATGCTAAGAAGTTTCTTTTTTGTGATAGGTGTTTCTTCCCTAATTTTTTTCTCCAGAAAAACGCTCAATCGTTTTCATCTCCTTTTTTTCGTGCAAGGTTCAGACCTGAATATTTTAAGGAACCCAAAAGGGCGACGTCTATGCGTTTGGAATCATTCTGCATGAAATTCTAACAAGGCAAGGACCATTCCAGATATTCGCTAAAAGCGATGCTCAAGTACCTGGTGAGCCATGCAGTGACTTTCTCGTTTTACTGCTTTGTATAATTCTCAGCGTTTCTTTTGAGACGAATCAGCTCACTGTTGACGGGGTTTGTTTACTGTGAACTACTCTCAAAGCGAGTTATTTCATGAAGAAAACGCATAGATTTCACCGTTTTTCTTCATATGTTTTCAAAACATGTTCTACTTACTGTCATTACACTGCATATTTCAAGCCCTCAGAGAAAATACAAGTGAATGACGTATTTTCTTTCAAGAGATTGTCGCTCGTGTAGCTGGAGGAACCTGCAGTCGACCAAATCTGTCTTGTATCGAAGGCCAGGACTACGTTACCGAAACAATGCGTCTGTGTTGGTCAGAATATCCGGAGAACCGTCCAGACTTCAAGAATGGTGTTCGGCACAGATTGAAGCCAATGTTTGCTGGAATCTACAAACGGAATATTATGGTAGGCTTTACGGACGTTAGGGATGTGGAGCTCGGTTTATGACAAGATTTTCGTTTCTCGTTTCTAAATATATTTACTAGAAGGAGATGAATAGATCTGCTTGCGTCTTCACCTCGTTCCTTGAAATATTTTGAATTTTCAATCAAAATTTATCTCGTCTAATCGAACAATGAGTTTAGGACCATATGATGGTGATGATGGAGAAGTATCAAAATCAGCTGGAAGATTTGGTTGACGAACGTACCGCTGAGTTGCGTGAAGAACAAAAACGTAGTCAACACTTATTGCAACGAATGTTACCGAGGTACAGTTTGAAGTAAATCTTCAGTAAATCTTTGCCATTCCGTGGTATTTGTCGCGTTTGTGAGGGCTGAGGACAGGCAAGGATTCTTATACTGAACCGTACAATAGAGCCGGCGATGCTGCGCAGTAGACTGACATAATTGCGGCACATTGTATAGGCTGTTCTGCTGTCTCTGCGAAGTTGTGAGTCAGTTGTTTGTATGTTTATGATGGGCAGTCAAACTGTTGGAAGCGAAAGGATATTCATAAAGAAACTGGAATAGCTAATCAGTGATTCAGTATCTGCTCAAGTACAGCAAATTTTGAGGGCTTCTTTAGAAATCTAGCAGAACAGTGTAGGCTAAAGCGATGTCCACAGCTCACAACAGTCTTTCTAATAAGGCTAAGTTCCAATTTAACAATTCACTATATCGCCATGTGTATCGTGGCTGACATCATTTGATTTTCTTTAGGAGTGTTGCGCAGCAGCTACTGGATGGACAGGATGTTGTGCCAGAGTCTTTCCCATCAGTGACCATTTATTTCTCAGACATTGTTGGTTTCACGCGTATTTCTGGGGAATCTACCCCGATGCAGGTCAGTTTGAACCCGACGTTGCCTGACAACAACCTTCCTGGTTTGGCAGACTTCATTCTTATTCTTTTCAGGTTGTGGCGTTTTTGAACAAGTTATATACGAAGTTTGATAGGATTATTCAGAAGTATGATGTCTACAAGGTAAGCTATCTGTGTTTGTTGTACATATTGAGAGTTTATACTGGCGACAAGTTGTTGCGGCAGAAGTGAACTAGTATAGATGCGCAACAGTTTTACATGATGCTATGCAATACGTAAATGACATAGGTAGTATCGCGAAAGGGTAGGAAACAGCAGGTATTTAATAGATTATCCATACCACGGTAGGTACCAGCAGATGTTTGCACCCACCTTGCTTTGGATGAGCCTCCTTTTGTGATACGCCCAATCTAGATTGAAACTTGGCTTGATAAACTGGGAGAACATTGCGCCCCTAGCTGCGAGTCCCTCACTCCTTCTGAATCGGTCGCTTGAATATATCACTCTTTCATTCATTCTGGATAGTATAACCTTTAGCTCATGTATCTATTAAAGGTAGAGACGATAGGAGATGCCTACATGGTCGTGTCGGGTGTGCCTAACTTCAAAGAAACGCAGTTCCATGCAAAGGAAATAGGTAGCCTTCAGGTTTTCCTCAACATTCTGGGTTTCAGTACTAATTCCACATAGTCTTCATGAGAACTGGATCAGCTTGAAATCTCTTGTTTTCAGCACTCATGGCTTTGCGATTATTGCGTGCCGTGCGAAACTTCAAGATTCCTCATCGTCCAAGTGAACAACTAATGCTGCGTATTGGTATTCATACGGGAAGTTGTGTAGCCGGAGTAGTAGGAAAGACTATGCCGAGGTTCGTTATTAAAATTTCTCGAATAATGTTAGCAGTTTTCTTCAGTGCATTATTGCTCCGAATTCACATTACTGTACCTTTTTTCAAAAATGTGAGTCCACGCTGTCTTTCGCTACTCCAATCTTGTCGTGTCATTTGAAGAAGTATTGCCAATCAACTCCTTGTTGCAAACGCAACGAAAGAAGGCTTCTCTTGCAGAAGAGAACCGCAAATCACCTCGAAAAGGCGCGTCTGCTCCACGTGCGGTCCGCTCCGCCAGATGTGAGGGCGCGAGGGAACGGTCACCTGCGCAGACAATGATAGACTTAAAATGACATTTCCTGACTAATTTCCCTATCGATTCAAATGATAAGAATCTGCAGGATTTCTCCACCAATTGAGGTCTTTTACGGCACAGCACAATCTGCACATAACTGTTCAGACGTAGAGGAATCTTAAATTTCCTAAATGTTCTTTGGTAACTTTTTCTTTTTAGTTCGCTATTTTTTTTTTCAGATACTGCTTGTTCGGTGACACGGTTAATACAGCAAGTCGGATGGAGAGCAATGGAGAACGTAAGTGAGCACACGTAGTTGGGTTGCGATCAACTAAACTCAGCCCTGTTTTTAGCGCTTAAAATTCACTGCTCTCAACCGACGCGAGATGTTCTATCAGCGATTCCGGGTTTCATCCTGGAAGAGCGAGGAACCCTGACAATCAAGGTGGCTTCGATTGTTTCTTTCTCGGTTAACTCAGTATAATTATTATTTCTTTCTCAGGGCAAGGGACCAATGACCACGTACTGGTTACTAGATGCGGAAGGTTACGAGTTTTCCGATGACGAGGAATCACGCGAAGAAGAGCCGAGCCTTGCACCGGAAATATTCCCGCGTAATTCCACCTTCAGGACTATGAGAGGGTCCGGATTCGGTAAGTGATACATCTGACAGGAAGAAAAGTAGAACGCTTTCATTTTTCATCTTCGAAGGAATTTGCTTCTTTATGACGTGATTTAGCTCTAAATCGTGAGTCTACGATGTCGCTTTCGACTCAGAAGGATCAGTCATTCCTGAAAAGATTCATTGGGACTGTACGACAGCCGGTGCAGGTGAGACACATGTAGTTCTAATGACTTCATTTCCAAGGCCAAGGGGGAGGTGATGTGGAGCAAATGTCAAAGGGAAAGACATCAGCGAATAGCGGTCAAGCATAGTACATCAACCATTGCCTTTTATACCTTGCACTGCCCGTTTACTCGTGAAATGCTGCCAAACGTGATTGTGGTGCGTGAAAAGTAATAAGGGCTTCACAGTTTTTCTTCAGGCGAATGATTCACAACCGAACGCCTTTTTCTCGGCTATGAATGGTGGTGTAGTGTCGATGGGCAATTCGTACAAGGAGCTACCAAGTGTCCATGAAGAGGACTCGCCCGGTGCGACGCGATCAACTGCTGCATGTAACAGTCAAAGGTAATTGTAAGCTGTGATAATGGTACCTACATCACGTTTCGCACTTCGTCAATTTTTCCCCATATGTAGTAGGTGGGCAATCGTAACTGCGCAAGGAAATTCGTTCGGTGAACGTGGCGAGTCTTCATCGACATCGTATTCAGTCATAATCGTCATGTAGCCTACTGTATTTTGAAGAAAAGCAAAATTTAATTACTGCTTTTTGGATGGTGTTCCGTCTACGACACAAACTCTTTTTCTCGAGCTCTTCCTACTTCATTTCGTGTTTTTTCCTATTTTTCGAGCTGTTATTTTTTCTGACTAGTGGAGACCCATGTTACGGATCCTAGCCGCAAAGAAATCTCGATCAGATGCTCAAACAGCTGCACTTGTCCACATATATTCGTTATTTTGCAAATCTTTGCAGAGATTTCTTAATTTACTTTCAGTCGCAATATCCGATGGCCGCCATTTTCATCGACGAGGAACTGCTATCAAAATGTGAGCCGTACGTCATTTCCTACGGACAGTGACGTGGCGTTAAGGAAAAGGTTTGGCTACCTTTGTTCCCTTTCCGTTCAACCAGTTCCACTGGCAAATTACCACTGCATTATACGAAAAGGCTTCATGACATTCCAGGTCAACGTCGCTTCCGGATGGCGAGGTGTTGAATTTGGACATGCTTGGTCCTCAAACTGTGGCGAACTCGACCGCCCCGGTATCGTCATACTGTTCCCCAGCCACACGAAGAAATACCGCGGAGTCGAGGTAAGCCTTTGCGAAGTGCGACGCATAACGCGATGCTTTAAGCTAGGGCTGAGCCGAGGTGCTTCAAGACAATGTGTACGTCTCGCATGACTGCTTTATCTGCGCTCACAATGCTCCCAAAATGCCCCGATTAGTCTGATATCGTTATTGATGTGATCTTCGGATAACTAAGCGAATACCAGCCGATTGTTCTATATTGCTGCTTCAGTAGTAGCATCCGTACCGAAACTTTGTGCTTTGAAATTGCTTGGAAACATTGTGCATATACCAGCAGGGCACTGCTTTTGGAGGCACTAGGGCTGAGTAGAACGGCAACTTAAGCCGAAATGTCTATGGACCGTGGATTGGCAAGCGAAAACTGTCTGCCAAGACAGTCAATAAGAGGCCCAAAAGCTACTGCTGGTCTGCTTTTTTACGCAGCTTCCCCATCAGCATTGATCAGATTAACCAAATCTTTCATAGAGATACACCAAAATTGGCATATCTCCATGAATTTGGCATGTCTCCATCAGAAGGTTGGCATCTCGCCTCATTTGTGTGTCTGTCTGCCATGTCTAGCCGTTACTCTTGTCATGCCCACTATTAAAAACTCGTAGATTGATATTAAAGTCGCTGTAGAGGAGATTAGTTCACGAATTTTATGGGAGCGCATGTTGATCAGACTACAGTTTGTTATCGAGTGGTTCTTAATTTTGAGTTTAAATAGACGTACTGTGGCACTTTTACAGTGTTGTTTCTGATTAATCAGATTCACTCGAAGGAGGTTGTCAGGAGTTAGGATGTAGTTTCGAAAAGGCACCTGTAATCAGATGCTATTTCTACTTTAAAAGAACGTTTATCATTAGTTTTTTGACAGAAAGCATTTTTTTGTGAACTCCCACAAACAAACCACAAGAAGTTTTCAGTTATTCTTTTGAGGAGTGAAGCGTATGGAAAGAGCGTATACGGTGGTGTTCTATGTTTCAGTAGTTCCCGAACAATGCAATCGGCATCGCCAACTCCTAGCCAGTATCCTTCGTATAAAGATCTAGCTGACCTTCCGGCTATTCCGAGGTGTTCATTGGCTTCTTGCTTTTTCATGTTTTTGGCTTTCTATGTTTGTGTCTAACTGGGACCTCGTGTCGCTTCATGCTTAGGACTTATCAGCTATAAAAGCAATTAACAAATATGTTACAAAGATTTTTACCGAAACGGTTAGATTTTGTTTTGATATCTTTTGATTCGTGTTCCTTGAAAATTCGAGTGTACGTCCTTTGGTGGTGTTGCTACTAACCTCGTGTTCAGGAAACAAGGGATGGCACTTATTGTCCGACCTCCTAGAAAACGTTCGCTCTCCGTCGGTGACAATGTGCCACATACGAAGTCAACAATGATGACGACGTTCGACGACGGCTCTGCAGCTAAGGTAGATCCTGACGATCCTCTGATAAGTCCACGAAAACCACGACGCCAACGCCGACGATACAAGAGCAAGGCAAGAATTTCCCGATTAAGCATGATAACTGTGTAATTTATGCACGAGCACATCTTTTTGACGTAGCAGTTTCCGGTGAGTACCAGGAGATTTCACATGGTAACTGAGTTACACGTGAACGCTGTCATACTGACTACCTTCCTATTATTCTCAACTTTCTCCTAGCAATAATTATTTACCATGGCGCAGGCGTTCTAGGATCCCTACATTCAGAAGAGTGTTGCTTAACGAGGCTTGGCGACTATTTATGTCAACTAAAGCGGGACGAAAACCTTTTTCCCCAGCATACGTCCTCAAATGCGGAGCTAGGCGGTGTCTTCGATCATGGCAGAATTAAAGAGAGTTCTGAGAAATGATTAGATCTGGGTTGCTTAAGAAATAACTGCTCCAGTAATAGGAACGATGACCAGTACTAAATGTGTCAAACTAATGGAAACGCCGGATGAAGTGATTGCTCTGAATTCGCTACGCTTATATTTATTGCATTGGTAACAAATCCAAAAAAATTTGCCTCTGAAATACGAGAAACAACCTTCATGGAATACCCCGCAGGACCAGCTGCTTGCTGGTGACGATATTTATGACGAGATATCGAAGTCTATCACTCATTCCATCATTCTGCTGTTGGCAAATGCGTTTTTCATATAGAATGTTAGCAGCTCTCGTGGAGCTCCTGCTATGCATCAGTCACTGCGGTGCATGCGTTACATTGCTAGCCTTTTTTTGTGGAGCAGCTCTCAAGTGTTCCAGCATGGCCTTTTGTTGCATGTTGTGTTATTTCAGTTACTACAAGAACGCAAAATTTCCTCTTCACAAAAAACAATAGCAAAGGCCTTCAAAACTATGGCCTGAGCATTATTATCTGAAAATGAACCAGGATTCACTTTCAAAACAACAGCGCAATCGTGGTTTTGTGAGGTTCTTCAGCTGTGTGTCTCTCCACTCCTTTTGTGTAGCGGTGCATTGCTCGCATTCCGGGAGGTTGTTGGAATGAGTAAAAGTAAATAGCCGTCATTCCTTCAGGAAACACCGGGTTCGTTAAACCCGAATATACTATCCACCCAAAGACGGGATGGATAAGCGAACTAAGCGAGGCAGTAAGTTGCCCATCTCGAGGCCCATAGGAACTTGCATGACTTTCTTTGCCAATAGGCTTGTCTTGTTTGTTTTTTCTGATGTGTAGCTGAAAAACGTCACTAAAACTCCTTGTCAACTTTTCTTCTTCAGGAATCGTAGGCAACTCGTTATATTTCTATCGGCTCCCTATTCTCCCTTCACAGTTTGGTTACTTCAAACCCTTCGTTCTATAAGTGGTCGAGAAAGCTCACTACATATTTGTTGAAATTAAATATATATAGTCGGAGTTCCGATGTGAAAGAGATCGTAGGCGATTGGTGTCGAGGTTGAATGACGAAACTTTTTGTTGTGTCGTTTAATGGTGGTGGTAGTGGTGGTGGTGGTGGCTGCACCGGTGGATAAAGTGGCATTTTACCTTCCTACTTACTTTCCAGGACCGGAAATCGATATTGTCGTTGCAACATCTCCGAGATCCATCGCCACTGCAGCGACTACGCGATGCATCGCCGTTTGGCAGACATTTGTGGCATGGAGGGTTAGTGGCTTTCTTCGGAACTTATTTGTTTGGTTTTGATGCTTTAACCTTTTCTCGTTGAAGTAGGTCCCATGCGCCTGTTGTTTTACTATGAACAATGGCTTTTAGTGAACGTACAGCCTCGGTGAACCGGTTTCTCCGACGATTAGCGAACGGCATGGGATCGCAGCAGTACGTTGATCTTAACAATTCTACTGATGATGGCTTTGAGCTCCATTGTGGTAATAGAATGAGTGACGGTGAGTTTCCAGTGTTTCATTATCTATTTCTTTTCTTTCCTTTTGAACCCTATCTCTGATTTATCATATTTCCGAAGTGATAAAACATTTTTTAGTTCGGTGAAAGTTCCGCCTAAATCCGTGGAACCCGTTTTACTCAATTAACAACTTACGGACCTGTTTATATTTGTAGTTGATGCTTTTTGTTTGTAGTAAGGTGATTGATAAGCAACATCGTCTGCTACGATTCTGTTTTCACATTTACAGGTCTGTAGAGCAAGTTAGCCCCGTATATTCCATCTTTGGAAGTTACGTGTACTGAAACAGATCCGACTCAAAAGTCTTTGGAGGTTCAGTGGATAAGTAGATGATGATGTAAAATGTGAAACTTCTCAGAAAAGTTTTAATTTAGAATTATTTATATAAGCCAACGCGACATACCTCCGATTTCGCCCAATTCTTTTCTTTTTTTCAATAAAAGTTCGTTTCCTTGCTTATATCATGTCTTTCAGTTCCACTCCTACAAGATAGATGCGAGAAGGAGGCAACGGAAGAGAAAGATGGTCCATCAGATCCCTTGATTTCGTTGAATTCACCACTTATGGTGTAAAATCGATGATGGCTGTCGTCGTTGTCGTGGAGGTTTTTGCTCACTGCAGAGAACGGGCCCTTTTTTATCTGGTTATACTACTAGTAACGTCATGCGTATACCACGCTGCATCCCGGTGTGTCTATTTGTGGTCTTAGATGATCTCTCATATTGTGATGGACTTTCTTACGCACATCAACAAGCGTAGGGAACTGAATTTTCTTAATCAAATAATGACTGCAGTAATTTTTGCCAAAGGCTGGCTGGTAAGGTTCCACCTTTCCCTCTATCTTTTCTCCTCCTGTTTTCCTTCTCCTTTGTTTTCCTTTCATGTTTTTGGCTGCATAATTGATTTCCATTGTTTAATGTAGCACCGAATAATTGATTGCTTAACACAACGATCTCATTCTCAACATGTATGTACTTTAACAATTTGGAAGTGATAAGACGCATTTGGGTGTGAATATGTGCATTTTTCTATATGATAACATCCCCTTCTTACTTACCGGTCGTCATGAATTTTCAACATTTTTTTAGGTGATTGCTCCCCACACTCACAGCAATATAGGCTTGTTATCTTTTGTTCTCTATTGCCGTGAACTTTATCGACATCGGAGCTTCAGCAAAGACGCAACGGAGCCGGCTCAATGTAGCTCACAGGCTCTCTTGGTGACTATGAGAACACAGAGCATGTGAGATTACATTGAAGAGGCTCTGTTCGCATGGCGCTCTACTCCCCTAGTCGCTTGCATCGAGGGCATTAGTTTGCTGGACATTGCTTCTGATTGATGGCAATTTTCTTCACTCATATTGTGCATATCATCATAATTTAGTTTACATAATGCATAGTTGTTGTTCTGTTTCACAGAAAAATGTAGTTCAATAGTAATTCGGGTACCCACACGGGGCACACTTTTTTCTCAGGTCACATGGAAAGCTGTCCTGTTAGGCGGCTTACCTCAAAAGACCTTTTTGGATACATAGGTAGGATAGTGTGCCCCGTATGTGGCCGGTTCATCGGGGCACATGCCTCGATTTATTGCGTCGTGTGGCAATGTCGGGTAATAAGATTCTTGAGCGGTGTGTAGAATACTATAAATGCAGAGAGCTTAGTTTCCTATTAAGATGTTATGCATGTTCGTTACGGTTACTACTAATTAAAGCGAGTAAATATTTCATAATTGTTTTTGTTGTTGTGTATCGATCTAATCTGGAAATTGGTACTGTGATGGTTGATGCCGCGACCTTCAACCACACTGCAGTGATGTTCACTGGCTCTCGAGTAGGTCATTAGCTGATTAGGCAAGTTCTTGGTGTCTTTGCCGGGTGTGGTGCAGTAGGAACGAAACTGTCGCGTCGCGGCGAGAGAGGCGCCGCGCGCGAAGGAATGTAGCAGAATGCAATAGAAAGCAAGAAATCCAGTAACATATGGACTGACAGTGAATCATGCCATATTTAATAATCGCATAGCGATTGAGCTGTATGAAGAACGATAGAACTGTTATAACGAGGCAAATGGTCCGCGACAACCGCGTGCGGCGGATCGATTACACAAAAACCGTTCCTATTGCCCGTCTCTCGTCTTTGCCTGCTGGTGGTATAGTAGGGTACCGGTGCAGTGGGTCGTGAATTCGTCATCGCCTCCATGGGAAAAGCCCAACTTTGTAGAATTTGGGGTCTCAAATAAAAACAGAGTCCCATGATTGCATCTTTGGGATGGCTCCCTTGTATCGGTATAACAGCCTTCGAATGCCTTCGTGATACCTCCGGGAGGATAATTGATGTACGTCCTAATCATTACCATTCCCGATGTGCTCTGATATGTTAAGGGTTGGTTTTTATTAGGCTGATGCATAATTATTGCGGATTTTTTTTTCAGCAAATTTTACTTGAAGAAACGATAGGAATATCTAGGAAGGACATGTTCAAATAATTGCTTCGGAACATATCTACCATCTACGTCAAGCACTGCTTCCCATTTGCTAGGCAGTCGGATTTCACAGGCAAAAGAGTTTTGATTATTGGAGGCGATCCACACCTTGACGTCGGCCATCTAGTCATTCATTTAGCCGAAAGTTCTCTTCACTAGCCTATTTTTCAACGGGCGATCAAAGTGATAATCTATAGGAGTATCTATTGGTGAGTAGGGCGACCGCAGAAGCAGATTCCATTCCTTGTTCGGCTTTGACTGACTGTTCCATCGCCAAGAAGTTTGTTGAGATCACTNCCATCAAGTCATTCATTTAGCCGAAAGTTCTCTTCACTAGCCTATTTTTCAACGGGCGATCAAAGTGATAATCTATAGGAGTATCTATTGGTGAGTAGGGCGACCGCAAAAGCAGATTCCATTCCTTGTTCGGCTTTGACTGACTGTTCCATCGCCAAGAAGTTTGTTGAGATCACTTTATGAGTGCGCCGCCTTCCAACATTTCTTGAAGTAATAGAGCATAATTTGGCGTATATGAAGATGACTTTCTAGACATATTTCTGATGAGGAAAGCGAGAAGATTATTTCTGCAAAAATCCCGAATTCAAAAGTGCAATTTTATCGAGAGAAAAGAGGCCCCGAAAAAATCCGCAATAATTATGCATCAACCTAATAGTATCCTCGTTTACAGAACTGAAGAGTGACAGCAAGAGTTTCATGTGGATGGGGCTCGGGCCAAACATACCCACTCCAGCTTCCATGTTCACGCACTGGCGCGAGCACCCAGACCGAGCCCCTACGCAAACTATGAACGAGAAACAAGGCTTCCTTCATGAGCTTTCGTAGCCTACTTTTTGTTTTCTTTTCAGACATTTTGTCCATCAATCAACATCATTGTGATGAATCCTTGCATCGCTAAGACGGTCAAAAGTGGTAGTCAACAAGACATCTGAAAGAAATGTTCAATCGGTCCATGAAACTCACCGGAAAAGCCTGTTTTCCGTCTGAAGAAACCTATCGTGTTTTGGAACCTGTACCATTTGAAGGTGGGAAGGTTTTTTGTGTCCTCAACCTCTACGGTCTGGCTGACCTCCGCTTGACCGATAGTGACCTGCCCTCTGTGACGACCTCCAAACGATGACCCCGGTCCACTCTTATTCCATCTGGCACGGAAACGTTGTGACCAACGTATCTGAGACCATTGTTTCCTTTCCGTGCTGGTTCCTCAGTCGCTCTGCTGTTTGTCAGATTCCATCTCCTTCTATGTAGCAATTTGGGCGCCTACAGTGCTTAAATGGCAATGACTCGAAATAAGTTACCTTCTGTTCTCCAGAATGATCTTGTAGTTCCCTTTCAGTTGGGCAAGAGAGCTGCTGCTACCGTAACAGTCTTCAAAACGTTATCTCGAGGAAATCTGACAGGGGTATGCCATCTTCAATCCCTTAGCCTCGTCTTCTCCCCTTTGAACCATAATACTTCTTACAACTCCTAAATAGGGCTCAGGATTCGCCCATGGAGCTAATCTATGTACACACCTGCGATTATTCTTCTTTGTTTAACCTCTAGATTTGCCTCATTCTGATATCATTCGTTCAAAGCGTTCTTTCAACTCTGCCATCAAGGTATCAGCCAAAACCTGTAACTAAGATGTTCTACTGGTTATCCTCAGCCTGTGGATTTGCAACATAACTGTGCGGAGTTTCCTACACGGTACTTAAATGAAGTGGGAATCTTAGACATTCCACTGACGCAACTAACCTGTAGATATAGCTCTATCGGTTGAGGTCGTCCTGATAATTCCTTACTTAAAGGAGTCGAGGTAGGAATCCTGATCAAAAGGCATTCAACAATAATGGGACGGGCTTTAACAATGACATTGACTAGTACATAGACAGTACATAGCAGTTGTCAGCTATGTACTGTTTTCTAACTGAAATTGGTCACGATTACTAGTTTAATTTGTTTTTTCTAGTGTTGAACCTTTTATACAGATCCCACGCTAAGAGAGCGCTAGTCCCTTACCCATTATCTGTGGGTAAGGGACTAGAGCATCTCTCAGCGTGGGACCATTCGTGGTCAATGTAGCTGCAGTGAGCCAGTGAAAAGGCTGGGTGAAGTGCAGTGTGTAGTTCTGTGCAATCCTCGCTGATACATATGAAGACCTGCCCTTGATACTACCACATTTGATCAGGATCAGAGCTCCTAATCGCGAATGTTCCTCATCCCAGAGAAAGGCGCCCTTATGGTTATTGACTAACCCTCTTGGTAATTGACACTTGTAGCGCTTAAGACGAAAAGGTCATTCCCATTAGTTCTACTATCTGTAGCGTTTTACGGCAGTCCGAATATTTCACGGGGTGTATTTGGCTCTTACCCTTACCTACTCCGAGATGGGTGAGTCAATTGAATGTTCAGTTCGTTCCCATGCAAGCTTTTGCACGAAGTTAACATCTAACCCACCCGGTGCTCGTCCCCTCCTAAAGCTAAGAGGGAACCAGCGCAGCACCGGGCTGGGCGATGTTCCTGTAGCTGAAAGAACCCCTTNCCCCCCCCCTTCTTCTTCTTTCCTACACCAATCTACATTTCTACATTTTCACCTAATGTCCTTCCCATAAAATACTTTCTAATGAAAACTGGAACATGTGGTCATACATACATACTCGAATAAATAGTAATAAAATACGTACATGTACAAATAACAATCAAATACATATACATATATTAAAAAACGGTTTCGACGATGAAAGTCGCGGCTCATCAACTTAGGTGGACCTCAAGGAGGTTTGAGCAGCTGTGAGGTCACTAGATTTAATGCGAACATAATCGCGCCGGTCATCTATTCGGACCGCTGTTGCACCATCTGGCCCCCTATAGAAGTAACTAGTACATTTGAATTCCCCTTTAAAACTCAGGAATGACAAATCCAGTTTCAGACCAGTTATTGTTGAATCCATTATTCGCTTGTTGTTGTTTACTTTCCTTTTTTTTCAAATTGATCTCTCTTCCTTTATAGGATATGGCTATCAAAAACACCAAGAAAGCAAAAGCCGCTCCATCGGTCGACCATGAGGTATGTATTTGCAAATTATTTTTCGAGCTCTACTTAATTAGATGGAATGATTTGCAGTGGTGATCAGTTCGAATTGAATAGAATAATAAAAAAATAATTAAAAAATTACAAAAAGTAAAGATTTTACCATGCCAATTATTTTTCTGAGTGTTTGGTGATTTCAGAACCAATCTCCGGTACTAAACGATTTATCGCATTCGAACCGTAAGCGGACCCACTGCGATACGGAGCCCGATTCACCATCAACGTCACGTCGCGACCGAATGGAAAAAGCTCGAACACCATCCACAAGGCGGAACGGCTTCTCGCCTGATTCCAACCTCCGACAACTTCTCAATACACCGAACATGAGAACGCCGCAGTCTGTCCCTAAAAAGGAACCAGAGAGTCCATCCAAAACTGATACAAGAATTGCTGACGTGGACGGATCTCCGCAGCAGAGCGCAGCTGTAGCTACGATGACCCCAGAGATTGTTGATCCAGCATCAACTATTGCTCCTACCAAAGATGCAGCTATACGTTCTTTATTGGATCTGCCAAGAATGGACCAACGTCAAACGACAAAAACGGATGAGGTGAGAAATACCATGTCTTATTTTTGTATTTTCTCCCGGAGGTGCTCCGGAATCGTAAATTTGAATATACCTTCCCAATTCGCTTCGCTTTGTAGATCGCGTATGAATGGCTCAGATGAATAGCTAGTCAAAACTCAGCCCTTACAAAGAAATTTTCTTTGTGAACCCGTCTTTTGGTGACGATCTTGAGTACGAGAAGCCAGTAGCCACTACCACCAGGCTAATCCAGTGTCGAGTTGCGCCGGAGGTGATCAGATGTGTCATTAATTGTCATCGATTCCATCATTAATTGTCATCGATTCCAATCAATTTGTATCACATCTGACCATCACTGGCAGGAGATTGAAGGAGTTGTTGGTTTTGTTTTCTTACTGGCTTCCTTGTTGAAGAGAAGAGTAGTAGATGAACTCCAACCACTGAACCATTTGTTTTTCACCCTGGCAAGGTGCCATTGACGATAGCATAGCTGTCGACTTTAAAGCATTTTTCCCAGAAAAAAGGTGCCATTTTATGATCTATTCTATTCACTTATTTATTGTACTATTAATTTGCCATTTTATTTTTTTCTATATTTTTATTTACTTTTGCCATTTTATTTTTTTTGTATTTTTAAAATTTATCTGTGTCATTTTACTTTTTTTATATGTTCTGCCATTTCAAGTTTGAATTACTGAAGACGTCTCTAGCATTCGACTCATTCGGTTGCGTTTTCAGCCGTCAACTTTGGTCACGCCGATGCCACGACATGATCCCAACGACAGTCCATTGATGACACAACTGAAATTGCACCTGACCTACGCGCTTCACAAGCTGGCCAGAAACGCCCTGGCCACCAATCCAGTACCGTCACCATGACTTTTCGATAGTGTACTTTCTGAATTTGTCTGAAACGGAAATTCTCTTTCTCCTCTTGTTTAATAAGTCATCAGAATAAACTTGCGAAAGAAATGTTGTCCACTTTTCCTCAACGAAGTTCTTCCTATAAGGATTTGTCGCCAATCTGTTGCAATCCTTGCCTATGGTCGCAATGTAGGCTAGCTCGGCAGTTCAAAGACTGTTGGGACTGTTGAGAAGTTCAGTGAAAATGAATTATCTACATCTGTAAACGAGCCATGTTGCACTGAGAACTCCAGCACTTGAACTACATAAATTTCTATACCGAGTTTGCTGAGAAATTTCAAAATTACTTATACGTTATGTTTCTAAGCTTATTCGTTTGATTTTACAGAGATTGAGGCGACATTGAGCACATTACTGCGACCTTTTTTTTAAAAGAACGGCTTAGGATAGTTTTGAGGTACCTCGTTTAAGACGAATTATGGAGCCAATAGCCTAAATTAGTGCAGAAGAGGCCAAGAAAACGTGGAAATCGGCGTATTCTTAGAAATATGAGGCTTCAGAAATGCAGTAAAATGAGAGGTTGGACGAGAATGCGACGACAAAAGTTGCACGGAAGGCATATTTGGACGGGAGTCGGCATTTGATTCCACGGTTCCACACTTCTAATTACTTCGCACCTTTCTCGCGCATCCACTCACTCGCCTGTGGGGTAACCTCGCTTAATTAGTTGGCTGTGACCTCTCTGGCAGTCTGTGCGAACTGATATTGATCCCATGGATTGGAGACTTTGTTATTATCATTACTGATATTATTATATTATTATTTGTTATTATTACACATTTTAAAATAATATGCAGTTGGGACAATACAATGTAAAAATTCAAAATCTTTATATTATAAGGAAACTATGAAGCATTATTTATTTATTTATTCGAAATACACACAAAGGTGCGCTTCAGTAGCAAGCAATAAAACGAAACCAGCTACAATTTTAAACAGCAGAAAAAGTCATAAAAACGCACATCAAGAAGGAACGATACCCATAGGTGGATTTTCCTTATGCTATACACGTCTAGAAATCTTGTATGCCCAACAAAGCAAGAAGGTCTAGCTTCCTCAATTTCTTTTTGAACGCATCGGTATTTCGCGCCTTTTGCAGGTCTAGTGGTAATTGTTGAAGCCATCTTGCTCCACGGAAGAAAAGCGAATGAAATACACTGCACGAAAAATCAT